CACTGCTTAGCTCTGTGAATGTAGTGAGGCCTGATTTGCCCGGCCCTGTCTCTCTGACCTTGAGTTTACTTGTATTGGTTGGATATGCTAGTTTGCATATTGAGGCTGCCCTGGTCTCTTCTCCATACTTGAAGACCTACTGTTGCTAGGAAAATGTCCTGACTTCTTGATTTCTTTTCTAGGTCCTCTTTTACCCGACTCCCAGATCTGTCCTCAGGTAAGAAAACCTTGGTTAAACTAATTCCTTTACCAAGTGGTTTTGTTTGTTTGTTTTTGGTTTTGAGATGGAGTTTTGCTCTCGTTGCCCAGGCTGGAGTGCAGTGGTGGATCTCGGCTCACTGCAACCTTCGCCTCCCAGGTTCAAGAGATTTCCCTGCCTCAGCCTCCTGCGTAGCTGGCATTACAGTCTTGAGCCACCACGCCTGCTAATCTTGTATTTTTAGTAGAGATGAGGTTTCTCCATGTTGGCCAGGCTGGTCTCGAACTCTTGACCTCAGGTGATCCACGCGCCTCGGCCTCCCAAAGTGCTGGGATTACAGGCGTGAGCCACTGCACCTGGCCAGTTGTTTTAAATATTGTTATTTTCTTTTATATATTTTTTAAGACGGGGTTTCACCACGTTGGTCAGGCTGGTCATGAACTCCCGACCTCAGGTGATCCATTCACCTTGGCCTCCAAAGTGCTTGGATTACAGGCGTGAATATTACTTTCTTTGAAAATGTTATGCATTTTCAAAGAAGTGATGATGTGGCGGGGCATGGTGGCTAAGGCCTGTAATCCCAGCACTTCGGGAGGTCGAGGAGGGCAGATCACTTGAGGTCAGCAGTTTGAGACTAGCCTGGCCAACACGGTGAAACCCTATCCCTACCAAAAAAAAATACAAAAAAATTAGCCGAGCATGATGGTATGTGCCTGTAGTTCCAGCTATTTGGGAGGCTGAGGCAGGAGAATTGCTTGAACCCAGGAGGCAGAAGTTGCAGTAATTCGAAGTCTGCCATTGCACTCCAGCCTGGGTGATAGAGCAAGACCCTGTCTCTAAATAAATAAATAAACCCCAAAGAAGTGATAATGTGTTTCTCAAACCTTATACACAGATGAATCACCTGAGCATTCTGTTAAGATGTAGATTTGAATTCAGTGTCTGGCATGGTGTCTGAGATTGTGTTTCTGACACCAGACGATGCCATTGTTACTGATCTGCAGACCACACTTTGAGTAGTAAGTCTGCAGAGGAATATTGAATAGTTATGGGAAAAACTATTAGGATGTGTTAGGATTCTCCAAACAAACCAGAACCAACAGAAGACACACACACACACACACACACACACACACACACACACACACACGTCAATCAAAATTAAGGCTGAAATAATTTAATAAAGGCTTCTTGGAACACATCAACAAAGTTAACAAAGTTCTGGAATCCGTTACAAGTTGTTTGGGAGAAGAGAGGAAGACTCCTCATACCTGAGTTGTCCTTTTTCATTAGAGGGTACAATATGGAGGTTGCAAGAACTGCTACAGATTGCAACATACAGGCTAAAATGTCCACCTGAAAGACAGTCAGTGAAACTTTACGACTCAGAAAGAAATCAGCATACTCTTCAGTGTCAGTGGGTTATGTGCTAATCCGTACATCAGCAATCTGAGGAACTCACAGGGTTCTTTACCCAGGGACAAGGTTGCCATGCATCACAAGACCTTGCTAAGGAAGGTTAATTTGGCTGCCTGTTTACTGTTTTTTGAGATGGAGTCTCACTCCGTCGCCCAGGCTGGAGTGCAGTGGCGCGATCTCGGCTCACTGCAACCTCCACCTCCCAGGTTCAAGCGATTTTCCTGCCTCAGCCTCCTGAGTAGCTGGGATTACAGTCATGAGCCACCATACCTGCTAATCTTGTATTTTTAGTAGAGACAAGGTTTCTCCATGTTCGTCAGGCTGGTCTCAAACTCCTGACCTCGTGATCCATCCGTCTTGGCATCCCAAAGTGTTGGGATTACAGGCATAAGCCACTGTGCCTGGCCTATTTTTTTTTTTGAGATGGAGTCTTGATCCGTCACTCAGGCTGGAGTGCAGTGGTGCGATCTTGTCTCACTACAACCTCTGCCTCCCAGGTTCAAGAGATTCTTCTGCTCCTAAGTAGGTGTGAATACAGTGTGCGCTACCATGCCCGGCTAATTTTCTTTTCTTTTCTTTTTTTTTTGAGACGGAGTTTCGCTCTTGTTACCCAGGCTGGAGTGCAATGGCGCGATCTCGGCTCACCGCAACCTCCGCCTCCTGGGTTCAGCCAATTCTCCTGCCTCAGCCTCCTGAGTAGCTGGGATTACAGGCACGCACCACCATGCCCAGCCAATTTTTTGTATTTTAGTAGAGACGGGGTTTCACCGTGTTGACCAGGATGGTCTCGATCTCTTGACCTCGTGATCCACCCGCCTCGGCCTCCCAAAGTGCTGGGATTACAGGCTTGAGCCACCGCGCCCGGCTCCTAACCCTTGAGTCTGCCTGTGACCACTCCATTTTTCCCCTAATGCCAATTCCATCTTCTCTTTAGATGTCAACAATGCCCTCAGGAGACAAGATGTCAGAATACTCGGCCAGATGGCATTTGTCTGTATTTTAATCAAAATGCCCCATCCTCTGTCAGTGTGAAGCAGCAAGAAACAGCATAGAAGCCTGCAGTCGCTTTTTAGGTTTCTAAGGTTAGGAAAGGTACCCAAAGGCTGGACTGGCTTAATTCTGTCAGCCTTGGTGGCAGTGCCATGATTGTGGGAACACCTCCCGTAGTCAGTGGCAAGCAGATTCCAGGAACCAAAGTACTGCCATGTTGAGGTAAGTGGGGTTCAGGGAGAACATGAATGAAAGAGCCTGAACAGTGGTTTTCATAGATCCATCTCCCCTGTGGGCAGCGGGTATTTCTCCTGCATCATCTCATTCAGGTTTTCCTTTCCTTCTCTTTTTCTTCTGAGACAGTCTCGCCCTGTTGCCCAGGTTGGAGTGCAATGGCTGGATCTTGGCTCACTCTAACCTTTGCCTTCCAGGTTGGAACAATTCTCCTGCCTCAGCGTCCCAAGTAGCTGGGTCTACAGGCGTATGCCGCCACACTCAGCTAATTGTATTTTTAGTAGAGATGGGATTTCACCATGTTGCCCAGGCTGGTCTTGAACTCCTGAACTCAGGCAATCCGTCCATCTCAGCCTCCCAAAGGGCTAGGATTACAGGCAGTGTGACTAGCCAGCACATTTTAAATATTAACACATTCATCCTCATACCAACTCTATGTGGCATGAGGTACTGTTATCTCACTTATTTAAATGGGGAAACTGAGGCACCGAGGTCTGAAGTAATTCGCCCCAGATTACAGCTGGAAAGCAACCAGGCTTGAAACTAGACAGCCTGGCTCCAAGGTCTGCTGTTTTCAGGATGGCCAGATGTACTTCTTTTTTCCTTTTTTTGAGACAGGGTGTCACTCTTTCGTCAGGCTGGAGTGTGGTGGTGCAATCTCAGCTCACTGCAACCTCCACCTCCCGTCTTCAAGCAATTCTCCTGCCTCAGCCTCCTGAGTAGCTGGGACTACAGGTGCCCGCCATCATGCCCAGTTAATTTTTGTATTTTAGTAGAGTCGGGGTTTCACTATGTTGGCCAGGATGGTCTCAATCTCTTGACCTCGTGATCTGCCCACCTCGGCCTCCCAAAGTGTTGGGATTACAGACGTGAGCCACCGCACCTGGCTGGCCAGAGTACTCCTAAACATCCTTAGGGAAGAACTCTCTACTCATTTTCAAATATGTATATTTCCCCCAGATGGTGACTTGTAAAGGTTCAAGAAATGGCTCTTTGTCCTGGGATGACAAGCTTCACAAGGGGGCTGGGCACAGTGGCTCACGCCTGTAATCCCAGAATTTTGGGAGGCCAAAGTGGGTGGATCACGAGGTCAAGAGATGGAGACCATCCTGGCCAACATAGTGAAACCCTGTCTCTGCTAAAAATACAAAAATTAGCCGGGCATGGTGGTGCGTGCCTGCAATCCCAGCAGCTCAGAGGGGCAGAGGCAGAAAAATCACTTTAACTGGAGAGGCAGAGATTGCAGTGAGCTGAGCTGACGCCACTGCACTCCAGCCTGGGCGACAAGAGTGAAACTCTGTGCCCCACCCCCACCTCCCCCCAAAAAAGGAAAAAAGAAAAGCTTCTTTACAAGGGAATGATTCTCCACTCCAAGCTGTTGGCTGACGAGAAGCTGATTTTGGAAGGAGTATCTTTAGAAAAATCTCTCAAACTTGACTCAGAAACCTCCCTGTAACACCCATCATGGAACCTGGAGGATGCATCCCTTCAGGAGCCACCATGCCACCCATTCTTCTCGAAGTGATGTTTTAGAAGCACTTCAAATCCTTAAAGCTCTTGCCTATAATTATAGCTCCTCCAGAATTCATTGATTCCATATTTTTTTCAGTGCCCCAAATGTGCCAAACACTGTGCTAGGATTGGGATCCAGCAGTGAAGACAGACAAGATTCCGGCTTCCATGGAGTGCTGCAGTGCAACAGGCAACTTCAGCCCCGAGGCGTGGAGGCTGTGAGGAAGGACAGGGCGTGGAAGCACTGGAAGTGGAAACGTGGGCCTCTAGCCTTGACAGGGCACAGGAGGCTTCCCGGGGTCTGTATGAGCAAGTGCTACACAGTAGTTCAGCAACGCCTACCGCATGGGTGCCTTGGCGGCCAAGCTGGGATCTAAGAAGGGTAGGAATTAGCTAAGTGAAGGGAGAATCTGGGGGTGGATGTGTTCTGGGGAAGAAAAGAGACCCAGAGTTGAGAGCGCACAATGAGATTTTTCTGCTTAGAATGATCATTCTACAAAGTGGAAAACAGATTTCAGGGGGCAAAGCCTGGGACAGAAAGACGATGGGAGCCCTTTACCGTGGTCCAGGTGAGGCAGGATGGGTGGCATGGGTTCGGGAGGTTAACAGAAATGGATGGGAGAGGATTAGAAGGAGGACACCAGGATGACTTTCAATTTTCCGCTTTAGGTTTACCTACCACAGAATGGGCAACTCTTTTTGTTTTTAACAAGATCACCCCAGGAGCGCAGACGTTCCCAGCCCCTCAGGCGAACCAGAGTATGGAATCAAGGTCTAAGGAACATACGTCCCAGCCTTTGTGGTAACCGGTGAAGTCTAGAGCTCTACAGGAGAGGAGGAAGCTGTGGCCTGGTGCAGGGAAGAGGTTTCGCTGGAGGCTCCACCGCCAGCGTCTCCGTTTCCTCGTCCCCCACAACCTTGCGAAAGGTAAACGGCAATTGTTTCCGGATTTTACAGAAGAGCCCAGGAGGTCTGCGTGAACCGTGCCCAGAGTCACTTACTCTGCCCAGCAGGTGAACGTGAGCTCAAGCCCCACGCTGTGACTGCAAGTTCGCTTGCTGGGCACTGTTGGTGAACACCGGGAGTCCTGGACTCTGGTGAAGGCCACCGTGCCCTACCTGGAGGCTGGTCAGGGTCTAACATCCTCTGGCATCCACGGGAAGGGTTTGCCTTAGGATTTTTTTTGTCTCGTAAAAAAGTTCCTGTTTCTCCCTAGAGCAAGGCACACGCCTCCCGAGCCAGACCACCTGTCCCAGGTACAACGCTTTTTGGCTCTTCGCCTCCCCCGTTCCGATCCCCCTTCCTCTCCGCCTTAGGTGGCAGGAAAATCCTTTACCTCCGACCAATCCCACCGATGCCGAGTCGCGCGCGCGCGCCAACTCGAGCTCGATCTGTGTACGCCATTGGCCACCTCCACCTATGCGGGGTGACAGGCAGCTTCGCGGACCTATCGCCGGGGGAGGCGGAGGCCGCCCGGCCCTCCCAAAGCTGCTTTGTTAGGGGCTCCCTGGTAGTCCCCCGGCCCGCCGTGCCTCGGCTGCCTGCAGGCGATCTACCCCGGCCGCACTGTCGGAGCCTCGCGGGAAGGCATCCCCGGAGCGCGCGCCCCCCGCGCCCCTCCAGCCGCGCGCTCCGAGCGGACGCGGCGCGGGTACCCGGCGTGCGCCCGTGGTCGCTCTACAGCTCAACTCCGAACGCCCCGCTCCTGTATCCGCCGCCTCGGATTGGCTGGCCGGAGGCGGAGCGATTGTCTGGCGGCCCAATCGGAGCTCGGTTTCCCACGGGCTCCCGCGGCCCGGCCCCCGAGGCCGCCGGCGGAGGCGTCCTGACAGCTCCCATTGGCAGACCGCAAGCGAGTCCGAGCGCGGCCGGCAGAGCAGCGCCGCCGCCGTCGGGCGCGCAGCTCTGCAGCGCCGCGAACGCTTCGGCGCCCGCAGCCCCAGGGGCCTGGCGGCCCCGCATCGTTCCCGGCCCCGTCGCGGAGCTCCCGGACGACCGTCGCAGGTGAGTACCGCAGGCCTGGGGGGCGCGGGCGTCCGGTCGGAGCCGCCCCGGGGGGCCGCGGCGAGGATGCCCGGAGCCTAGGTGCCTCGGTGCCCGTGCCGGTCGCGTTCTGACCCCGGTCTCCCGCACACTGGGGCTCCCGGCGGGTCCTAGCTCCCCCCGATCGGGCTTTCCTCGTATTGTTTTCGTGTTCACACACTTGGGAGGTGGGGAGATCCGTGGAGGGGGGGCAGGAGGAGGCGTCCCTCGCGCGAAGGAGGGAGACTAGACCGTGCAGCCCGGGTGCCCGGCGCCAGATGGAAGTGACAGCGTCCGGACGTCGGCATTCGGTCTTCTCGGCAGCAGGAGGTCAGCGCTGACCTGCGGCGGCGGCGGTACTTTGTATTTTATCGGCTGATTTTCGTCAACTTCGGGGAGGGCGTGCGTGTGCGTGCCTATGTCTATGTTTGCGTCTCGGTCCTTGACTTGGGCACCTCCGGGCCTGGCTTTTCGGCGACGCTGACTGGGTGCTCACCTTGGCGGTCCGTGCCGCGCTCGAGGCCGGGCTCACCGGGCGGAGAGCCCGGGGCGGGCGCGCGGAGCCGGGACCTGCGGCGAGCCCCGGAGAGGGCATTTAAAGCGGAATCCTCCGGGTGCGCAGACAATGCCTCATCCTGGCGGTCAGGTCCCGGGGGCCGTGCCCGAGGGTCCCCGCGCCGGATCGCGTCCCCGGCCCCCGCCTCACGGCAGCGGTGCTGCTGCGCCGCGCCCCTCGCCACCCGGCTGGGGACCCGCGTGGGGCCCGCTTTTGTTTACAGACCTCGCCATTGGGCGAGAGCAGCGCGCCGTGCGCCCCCGGCCCTGGCGGCTGCCGGCTGCCCCCTCCGAACCTGGAGAAGTTGGTGCACACTGTCAGGTGACGCCTCCTCCCCCCGGCCGCGGGGCGGGATGCTGCAGGGGAAAGATGCCGTCTCGGCGCCTTCGCGCCCAGCCCCCGCCGCGCGCGGCGCCTCTAGGTCCCCTGCACCCGAGGGCGCCCGTGTCCCGGCTGGCAGACCTCGGGGCGCCGACTTGGCCACGCTCCCGGGGTTCTAGTCGCATCTCCTGCTCTGGCCCCCGGGTCAGCCGAAGTTGATTCGGATCCTGCCATTTCCCGCTCGCTGGCAGGTCTTGAAGGACGCGCACGAGCCCTTGGGGACACTGTGCAGTCTGTGCCCGCCTCGGTGACACCCTCGCGGTCCCGCGGGGCAACTGTGCGGCTTGAGTCAAAGCCGTCCGGATCACACATGCACGCTGACTTGGCGCACACTTTGAGTTGGAGCAGAGGTTGAGATCCTGTGCGCTGCGGTCAGACAAACCCAGGTTCCAGTACCTGCTCGGTGTCACTCACCAGATGGGCGATCCCGGCCGTGCTACGCAATCTCCCTTCGTCTCAGTGTGCGCATCTGTAAAGTGGGGATAAGGAGTATCTTCGAGGGGCGGAGCTTAAACGACCGTATAAATTAACCTCATAGCACAGTGGCAGCCACGTATGAAACTAAATTAGAGTTGGCTGGGCACGGTGGCTCACGCCTGTAATCCTAGCACTTTGGTAGACCGAGGTGGGTGGATCACCTGAGGTCAGGAGTTCAAGACCAGCCTGGCCATCATGGTGAAACCCTATCTTAAAAAAAAAAAAAAAAAAAGAAAGAAACATTAGAGTTCTGTTCATTCTCTGTTAGAGGAAATCTATAATAGGGGATGACCCCTTGTCGCTTTCCTTTTCCGTTTTCTTCACTCCCCCAGCCCCGATTTCTTTCAATTAAAGTCATGAAGGACTGCTGTTCTCAGCTTCAAACAGGACCTGTTTTACTTGGCCTTAGGTTTAATTGGGCTCATCTAATCGCTTGCAGCTCTTTTTAAAATGTGTTTGAATTTCCATTAGGTTTTAGTTGTTCCTTCTTCCTTCCTCTTCGAGACTCTGCTGGGGCCCAAAGCTGGGTTTGGAGAAGGAAAAACCCTTCCAGGTGGAAAGCAGTTGCCAGTGAACCAATGACTGCTGTGGAAAGTGATTAAGACCAGGAAGGAGGGAGATTTGAACAAAGAGAGGTCTGGAGGCTGGGAGAGAAGCACTGTCTAGGAGAGGTGAAATTTAAGCGATGCCTTGTAGCTGAAGTTCGGTAAATTCCTGGTTTCCAGCATATGCTCTTTTGTGTCTCAAGGTAAAAAGCTGGGCGAGGGAGGGTGGATGCCTTTGAGTGGTAAACATCGACATTGCTAAGCAATAGAGGAGAAATAAAACTTAAGCAAGAGGCTGTTGACTAAGCAGGGAAGGCAGAAGAAGAGAGTCAGTTTCATTGAGTATCTTCAAAACGTGAATGTGTTTTGACTTGTTTTCCCCTACGAGCTGTGCACTGCTAGTTTTCTTTAGCCAAAAAGAGAAATCAGTTTTATTTAGAAAAACAAACAAAATAACAACAGTCCATAATCAGATAGTTTAAAAAGATCATCTCAGGCTTAACGACAGACTAAGATTGTATTGAAAAAAAAAAAAAAGAAATCCAGCTTCGTGTTTTAACACCCTTTTGCTGTTGGAATAAATTATTGGGTCCAACAACACATTCTTTGAAAGTAGACCCCAGGGGCCTTTGCCAGCCAAAACAAGCAAACAAACAAACATACATAAACTCGACTTGTAGTCTGTCCAGTGGTTGCAGAAGCCCTCAGGATTGCAGTCTGTCTCTTCTGCTCCCTTGGGCCTGCCTCAGTTACCAGGAGTGGAGTCTGATTCCCGTGAACCCCTGTTGTGCTGTTGATGTGGAACTCGGCCAGTAGCATTATTGCTAGATACCAATTAATAAATGTGATAACCTATTTAAAGGTGAACTGATTCCCATCCTTCTTGTACTTGTTCTGGGAATTCTTGGGCCCTTAGGGACGCTGAAGGCCTCTTTCCCCGCTGCTGTTGTGTGGGGATCAAATCAGCGGGGGCCCTAGACTTAAAAGGGAGCACGTGGTTAGGAAATCTCATTAGCTGACAATTTAACTCCACTCTAATGCTCCTCCAAAGAGCCTGGACAAAGACTTCCTCTCCTTTCCCTTTGCCCTTCTCTCCTTGCTCCTCTTTCTTCCCCTCCCCCTCTAAACCAAAAGGAAAAGCAGCACTGGGCCTGTCTCCTTCCCCCCAGATTCCTGCAGTTCTAGTGTGCCGACTGAACCCCAGCATTCTGGACCCCTGAGCAGGAAATCCTTGGAAGACTTTGCTGAGGGCCTACTAGGTGCATGTGTTAACACTTCTGCAGTTTCTGCAAGGGCATACTGCCCAAAGGAGAAACACGGTTTGTGAGACACTTTTTTTTTTTTTTTTTTTTCCATTTTTGTTCTTCGTTAGAGACAGCACTTTCATAGATGTATAGTAGAAGCGTTTGGTTTTTCCAAATGAGGAAGGTGGGTGAGAGCATGGGAATCACATCAAAGCCTTGCCTAAAAATCCGTGCTGGGAGAGGGGGCTTCTGCCTGTTTGAGGAGGGCAGAGGAGTGCGAGAAGCCAGGAAGAGAATTCGGTTTCTGTGGGCTGGGTACAGATTCCCATGGGAGTGCTGAACACCACGGACTCAGGCTTGTGGTTAAGAAAGGGCCTCGTTTGGCCAGGTGTGGTGGCTCACACCTGTAATCCCAGCACTTTGGGAGGCTGAGGCAGGTGGATCATGAGGTCAGGAGTTTGAGATCAGCTTGTCCAATATGGTGAAACCCCATCTCTTCTAAAAACAGAAAAATTAGCTGAGAGTGGTGGTGCATGCCTGTAGTCTCAGCTACTCGGGAAGCTAAGGCAGGAGAATCACTTGAACCTGGGAGGCGGAGGTTGTGGTGAGCCGAGATCGCGCCACTGCGCTCCAGGCTGGGTGACAGAACAAGACTCTTGTCTCAAAAAAAAAAAAAAGCCTCGTTTTACGATCTCCAGTCATTTGGTCTTCAAATCAAAAACACACTTTCACTGGGGATGTGTGAATGTATATACTGTGTACACAAGTATATTTACCTGTACATTTCCTTTCTAAATTAAGCAAATACATAGACGGTATGTTTCTGAGGGTGTATCTCTTTTTGTTTTCCCCTCAATTCAGGACCAGAAAAAATCAGATTGGTAGGTCCCTAGTAAAAAGTGTCAGTTTTTCCCCATTCCAAACTTGAGGTCTTTTCATCTGTAAATATTCCATTTTGTATAAGCTGTAACTCCTGTGTTAAAAAAAAATATTCTCTCTCATCTTTATTGTAGGCAATCACTTATTAAAAAAAAATAAAAGAGACATTCAGAAATAAAGCAGTACTCAACAAGGAACAAGAGTGTTTTTAAAAATAAAACAATGTCCTAGTGTAAAAGGGTACACGATATTAATAGGTGGCGTTTCCCCCTTCCATCCCTTCCTAACCTCTGGCACCGTCCTCCACACCCTCCAGCATAAGACTTTCCCTGTTCCTGTGGTCTCCAGGGACCTCATTAAGAAATTCATAAGGGCCTAGACTGTGGGCATGGGAAGCCGCAGAGATTCCTCCATTGCTTGTGTGAGATTCTTCTGGAAGACCTTGAAGCTCTTTCACTAGGTGAAGAGGTTCTTCTCCCCCTGGGCGGAGGCAGAGCTGGGAGACTTTGCATCCTACCACAGAGCCCTGGTGTGGGGTCTCAGCTCACGACGCTTGCAGAAGTGGAGGGGGTTGGGGTACCACGCAGGCATGAT